AGTCTGTATTTTATTTATTTAATTAATTATAGTTCGAACGTATTTTAGATTGTTGTTTGTATTTTCTTATAAAATTATCAATTATAGCATTTAATTTAGTTTCTTACAATAATTAAAAGTTAATTATTTAATAATAGCAATATTAACATATTACTAGTGAATTTGTACTGCAAATTAATCTATGTGTGAACAAAAACTTTGAAAATAGATTTGAGATATTCTATATCTAAATTAATTCTATTATATAATTTCAAGTTAATATTTATATATATATTACTTGTAGCTACAAATTTAATCTTAATATTAGCTGATATATAGACTCCATGTTTCAACATATTTATTTAGCTGTTTGTTATATATAATCATATTGTCAATAGCTTCATATAATAACAAAACATGCAAAAATTTATCAAGCACAAAGAGTAAATAATAAATATATATAAAGGGGCAATTAAGATATGAAATTTTAATAAAAAATACTATTCAATAAGAAAATAAATTAAAATATATAAGGATTAGGGTATGCTAAGTAAAAAATATATTGTTAGATAAAAAAAAAAGAAGATTCAATAGTATGGTATGTAATTAATACTTGTAACAAGAATTTATATATTTCGATAATATATAAAAGACTCAAGCTTTTTTTTAATAAAGTTAAAGAACTTTATAATATCCTGTTATAACCTTAAAAAAAAACAAGTGCTAAGTTAGTTATTTTTATTCCCTATAACAAAATTTTTTAAAATTATACTTATTCAAAATCTACTATATTTTATCAAAATTTTAAATTGCTTGTAAATTCTAAAATATGTCTATTTCTATTGGTTTTATATTACTACTTCTAATATAATGTTCATGTTGGAATAGCTTTTTCATTTTAAAACTAAAAGAGTGAGAAATAGATATACAGTCAAATATAAATACTGCTTAGTTGAACTAAGTGATAAATCTGATAGGCTTTACAAACATGTTCTTTGGTACAGTAATTAGCTTTTTATTAAAAAATAGGTTATTTTTAAAAAACTAGTGATAAAAGTTTTTTAGACTAAAAACATTTTTGTAATAGTAAAAATAACATCTATACTGATCAAACAAATATTTAAGTAAATGATAATATACAACAATCTTCTATATCTTATCTATGTCAAAACACTATTTTTAATTGGTATACCTGGCTCTTGTTTAGTGCATAGTCTAAAAACTTTAACTAAAAGTTTTTAAAAGCAATTATTTATAGAAATCTCAACTTTTGCTTTGTTGAAATCTATTTTTAAAAAATTTTCTTCATGACTTAAATCTCTCTTATCATTTTCCTTCTTTTGATATTATAAAAGGAAATCTTTTAACTAAAATATTTTCTATTTATATTCAAAAAAAGTTGACTATTCTTTCTAATTTTATATATTTTACAATTTCTCTTAATAGATAGACAGATAATTCAAGAAATTCTATATATATATTTATGATTCTTAAAGTACCAAGAAATTGTATTAGATATTTGTAACTTATCTGCATATCATCATAGAGGTAATTTTCTTAAAAATAAAGTGAAAGAGATACTATTTGTAAATAGAATTTAACTGATATCTTTAATAGCTTGCATAATAGATAACTCTTTAAACATAAATAGAATAAAACAGTTGCTTCATATTGAACACCTAAATATTATTTTCATTTGTTGCTGCTTACATATTTTTAATTTAATAGTCAAAGATATTGTTGGTTTTCTGGATGCTATTTTGATTTATAAAAAATTAGAAGCTTGTTAATTTTTTTAATGCTTCATATATTTGGTGTCAGAAGTTGTAAAACTGGCAAAAAAAGAAAGGCATTAAACATTTTTTGTTTATGTTTTGTAAAACAAGATAGTATTCACTTTCTAAGATTTGTGTAGGTGTATCGACTTATAAAGAAGGGTTTCAATATTGTCTTTTGTTGAATAAAACTAAACACTCTAAATATTCTGATATTGAGAATAATACAATAAAAAGTCTTATTTGAGACAAATACCATTTTGCAAACAATGATATACTTAGAGCTGTGCAGTAAATCATGTAATTTCTGTTTACTATAAGATCTACTTCCTCTCCCCCCTGTAATAAAACTTAACCAATTAAATTTTATTTTTCTTAGGACGTGATAGATTTGATATTCCCCTCCCCCTCTAAAAAATCACGTGATTTCCTGCATTTCCTTTACCAAAGTGATTAAGCCAGTCATTGATACTATTGGATAGCTAAAGTTAAGTGATTCTACTTTAGCTAACATATTTAAAGAGTTAATTAATAATTATCAACAAATATCTTCACTTAATATTCTAATTAGTGGTTTTAAAAGCTATGTTCTTACCATTATTAACAAATATATAAAAAATTCAATAGTGATATTTATTTTGTTGCATTTTTCTTCTTCTTTAGTATACAAACAATTAACTATTTCTAAAAAGATATATAAAAACAAAATTATCTGCGCTTTTTTTAAACTAGCTAATGCTTGAAAATTTAATAAAAAGAATATAATTCTTTTGTATAATATCAGCAAATTTAAAGAAGCAAAATATTGTGAAAGAATTTGCATTACAAAAAATTTTACAAATTAGTGCAAAAAATTTTGAAATATTTTGAAATATAATATTATTGAAAATTTTGATAAAAATTTTAAAAAATTTTAAAATATATTTTGCAATATTGTATCCAAAATAATTTCAAAATAATTCAAAATATTTAAAATTAAAGAATATTCTAAATAGAATTTAATAATTTTGTACATATGTGTTATAACGTACCCTATAAGATTATATGTAATATAAAATCAAAACAATGGTTTTTATGTGATTAGGGTTAGTGTTTTTTTGTTTTTTTTTAACTAACTAGCCTTCTCAGAGCTAAGGTTTTTATTCAAGTATTGTTGAGCTTGGGGACTTGTGGCTTAATGCCTCATGGAACCCCATATATTAGAGAATACATTCTAGCTATACCTGCGTCTTTTGAGCGCCTAATTAAATAGTTTGTCTATTATTAGACTCTACACTAGATGCCGTATCTATAACCCAACTATGAGATTACCTGTTTAAACCTCTGTAATGCAACTCTACCTGTGTCACTAGTACATTCCTGTTACATCAGTCAGTTAAGAAGTCCCAAATGCTTAACCTATTTCCTATAAGACTACTTTATCCTCGAGGCATCATCACTAGAGCCGCCCATTACTCATATTTAATATATAGATCTAGTTTTCTTTAGATAGAAACTACCAGATAGATTCTATACCTTTATGAGCAGGTCACACTACCAATCCTTTCCACAGACACATTAGCCAGATAGATTCTAAGTCTTTACGAACAAACCGCACCACCTAAATATCTGACCTTTGTAAAGTTCATCCAAACCTCAGCACCTACTATACAGATCATCCCCATACTCCCGTTACCCTAAACTACCAATTCAGATAGCCCGGAAAGACTGAGACTTGTTCTTAATCCCACGATTGGATCCTTTTCCTCCGGTTACTATATATATATATAAGAATTGCATTAATAAAAATTAATTTTTTTAAAAAAATTTACAAAAATAATAACTTACAATGCTACATCTATTATATACAAAAAATTATTAAAATGGTAAATTGCAGTTAAAGAGTATACATATCATAGTAAAAATTGGCGAAAATTACTACGTACAGTACGTACTACTTTCATATAACGTTGAAATGACAGTTTTTGACAATAGATAAAAGTAAAATATAGATCCAAGGAAAAAATATATACCAATTTCTTGCGATCTATTAAACTGATCTTGATAATTCTACTGCCATTCGGATTGATCATTCGGGTTTGAACATTCGGGATTGAACATTCGGGATTGATCTTCAACGTTGTAAGCCAACAGCCTTTCCACACAATAGCTTCGACGATATTTACTATGAAAAAAATTTTTTATACCCGTCAACCATGATTTACCTTTAAATCTAGTCCATAATCAAATTTGGATCAAGTTTCCGAAAAAAATTTTATTATGCATAAAAAAATGATCATTGACAAACAACCGTAAATGAATTCATATATAACGAGAATAAATGAAGGAAACATATAATGTCTATTATAAACAATTAGAAATTAAAACTATTCTTATACTTTTGAAATACCTAAACGTCATAACACTTTTTCCCCATAAAGTTATATAATACGAATCGATCATATATTTCCCAATGCTTGTTTTTATCGAAAAAAAATTGTCCGGTTTTCGAAAAGTAAGACGAAAAAAAAAAAACGAAAAAGTAAAAGAGAAGGGGAAACGTTCGGCGGAATAGGTGGTGGTTTTTTTCGAAATCACACTAAAAAAGCGAACTAATTTTCATTAAAAAAACTAAAATAAAATAAATAAATAAACGGGGATAAAGAAAGTTTGTAATATAAATATATATTATCTAATTTTCTTTGCATATAATATATGTACATGTAAAATGGGAGATTAATGAAAAAGGTTTAAATGGACCCCTTATAATGAATGTCCCAATCCGAAGATGGATAACAACAAAATGGACAAGAATAAAATATAAACAATTAACTTCCTCGACTGACATCATATTGAAGGTGCGGTGGTAATGCCAGTGGACGCCATCTTTGTTGATCTTGCAATTTCTGCCACGTGGATTCATCATCATTAGGAGCAGTCGGCAAAGTAGGTATCCAATAACCCTTTTGCTCATTTGAAAAAATGGGGTAAAAAGAAGTGGAAGTGGTAATTGGATTAGAGAGACCATTTAAAGTAATAGCAGAACCATTACTTTCACCAGACTCCATAGTCTCGATTGAAGAAGAAGAATGAGTTGGAGAGCGAGGACCATATGCAGGGTTATGATTATTAATAGAATCAGATTGTAAAGAATTTTGAAAAGAATCATCTAGTTGTTGATTATTTCTTTGCCGCTGCTGTCGTACATCATTAAATATTAAAGTTGACGTAGTATTTGGAGGGAACGGAGATAGCAAGTTACAGTTCCCAGAAGTTGAAGGATAGCTTGAATATTGATCAGAGACAGTGGACATCGTATATGACACGTTTTCTTTGCGTTTGTAGATTTCCTGAGGTAAACGATTTTCATTTTGATGATTATCTTCGACCATATAACCATCAACAGCATCATTCATATTATTAATATTATTATTAATATTATTAATATTATTATTAATATTATTAATATTATTAATATTACTACTTGCATTCATATTACTACTTGCAAGGAGTTTTTCTAAATACGCGACTCTTTCTTTCAAAGATTTAATCTCATTTAAAGAATCAGTATATAATGCTTCGAATTTTGAAGCTTTAGCTTCCAGAACACGCACTTCAGTTTTTTTACGTTCACGGAATGCGCGTTGGTTGACTAAATTTCTGAAATGCCTTTTTTCCGAAGGCATTGTTGGTAAGGGCTTCCTGCCGCGTTTATTTTTACCATTGGAAGAAGCGCTAGATTGACAAGAAACAATAGGGAACATTGTATTACTGTTATTCATAATTTCATTCGTTGTAGACGATGAAGCAATGGACGTAATAAGGCTTGTGATTGGAGCCAACGTGCAACGTGTCAAATTTGAAGTTGCCTGGAGAGTGGGAGATTTTGTTTTATGAGAAGTGATGAAAGGTGGGGCAGAGGCTGTACAATAAGACGGAGCATCAAATTTCATCGACGGTTGAAACATTCCTAAATTAAGGGGAGATGAGGGAATGGTGTGCGATTTCGACGGAGCAAGGGGGGTAAGTTCGGTTCTTCGAGGAATTGAGAATAGAAGAAAAAAGAATTATGGTTTTATACAGTAATTACATTCTTTGGTTTTTTTTTTTTTTTTTTATTTGAACTAATGTATTTTCAGTATTAGTAATATGTTCCATTTAATTGTATGTTTCCTTGTTACGTGTAACGTGTTGTTACAATTAGATCGTCCTTATTTATGTTGTAAGTGGGAATAGAATTTAAGTGGATTTGGAATTTCCTAGTTAAATTAGTGTTAGGGTTAGGGTGTACATATAATAAAATCAACCCCAAAACGGTGGTTTTATATATAAATTCCAAATCCACTTAAATTCCGTCTCCACTTACAACATTTATTTAAGATCTGATAGTGATAAACAACAAAGTACTTTGTTTTTCTTTTGACCAATCATAAGACAGGTAATTGACACGATTAAGATCTTTGCGTATTATTGTCTCCAGTCCTGCACGTTCAAACAATGTAACTATAAATGGGAATGATTAAACTTGTCATCTTTATTTATGTTTTTTTTTTTGTTTACAGTATGTCCGATTCATGCATGTAAGAATTTAAAAATGAGTCAAAGAAGAAGGGCGTAACATAACATTAATCACGTGATATTCTAGCATAGAATGATAAACCGTTGATCGATGATGATCAAATAAAAGGTCTTTTGTTGTACACGTTTTGTAGATCTGTTCATTTATTGATTCATTTATTGATTCATTTATTGCATTTATTGTAAACGTTTTGAAGATCTATTTATTTATTGTAATTGAGAAATAACTGGTTGCATAAACAGGAACTAAATTAGCTTTGTAGTTGAACCTTATTTGCCGACTCATCTAAGTAGTTATGGATTATCCTGATCGCTCTATAAAAAATAAAAAATAAAAAATAAAAAATGGAAGCTTTATTTCGCATGTGTTACGTCTTTAAAAAGAAAACACTTGCAATGCTTGCTATGACATTTGCTATGACACTTGCTACGTACGTATGACACTTGCTATGACACTTGCTACGTACACGTATGACACTTGCTAAGATGGGGATTAAAAAAAGGGGCATTTCTAAATTAGGGTTCTATGAAAGTGGAGAATGTAACATGTCAAAACTATGCAAGTTTTCCAAATTTGGGTTTTAGTCTACACCTGAGGTGAATCTTAATTTGTCCAGGTGGCGAAATTTTTACGAAAAAGCATAAATATATCCCGATGTCAGTATTTCAATTTTTAATTAGTTGCGGGGACCGCAAAAAGATTATATGAATTTAGTTGCGCATATGAAGATCTCTATATCAGATATTCTTACTACCAGCTACGTACGTACGTACGTACGTACGTATCCTATTTACCTGTTACTATCTACATCTACATCGCACAATTATTTATTGGTGCTACGTATTAACTGTATTAACTGTATTAACTGTATTAACTGTATTAACTGTATTAACTGTACGTACTATTAACTGTTAATTTTTAAATCAATAAACCCATAAGCTAACAATGATACGTATTAGCAATTAAATTACCAGTTTAAAATATGTGCAACAATAAACTTTCTCATGAAATTTTACCTGCCAATTACAAGACTAGTCATTTCCCTCGGCACGTGATATCTAAAATCTAATTGGCTGTTATATTAAGTTTCACCACCATTCACTCATTATCGAAAATTTGAACTTTAACTAAATCGTCACGAATAAAACAATTATATCTAAATACCGGCTGATGTTTTTACTATTAAATCTCGATAACTTTAAACCTAAAACTGTTATTAACGAAAAAATCCTAACATATACGAATCAACTTATTCTAGAACGCTAATAACTAATAAAACATATTATATAGTTATTATATAGTTATTATATATATATAGTTATATAGTTACAATGCACTACGTATAAACCTTATACGTACATAACTCTTAACTGCTTCAGATTTCTTTATTAGTTGTGTTACGAAAAGTAAGTTTTCACAATAAAGATAACTTAAATTGCCAACTTTAATGAATAATTGTATCTATAGGCTAAACTTAAACGTTCAAACTTACCTCTCATCTAACTTCCGAATTACTATAAAACAAGGTTTAAGTCTTATACGTACGTACGTACAGGGTCGATGATTTTCTGCATCGACAACCATCGATAACCAAATTCCGTGACTAAAATTTAAAATTTCTGCATTGTTTATGCATTATAAAATTATGGTTTTAGTGTAGTGTTCCGAGTTGTTTAGTTGTCAACTATAGATGCAACAATTGGATTTTTTTATACGTATTATATAAGCTTACGTAGTATCATTATATAATTATAATTGATTACGTAGTTATTTATATTTTTTTTAAATCAACTAGTTGGATAACAATTTGATCCACTAATTCTGTGTTATTTTGCAATTTATTCTTCGAATTATTAAAAATTTTGGCTCGACCACGCTCGTTTTCTCATATTTAGGTTTTTTTATTTTCTACGCCAGAATTTTAACAATAAAAAAATTGGTTTCTGCTATAAATCCCTACTTTTTGATACTTTTTGATACTTTTCTAATTCTGTGATTTCTGCACCATTCCACGAAATGCAAAAAACCATCGTCCCTGGTCTTATACTTCTGTACTTTAAAATTGTCCAATCCAAACTAAAGCTCTCTATGCTGATATAGTGTATATGTAGGATTCATGCTATGTTTTATAGTTATTTTTTGCTTTTTATACTGTTCATACTCTCTATATGCATGTATTACTTTTATTGATAGCGATAGTTGACGGTTCTTTTTGATTTACTTATACTGTACTATTCTTGTTATTACTAATTAGGATGCGATTTTGTTACTAAAGATTATCTATATATCGATATGTATTTAGATCGAGTTAAAAATTATATTTGTAATTTCAAATTTATAATTCAAATATGTCTAATAATTTCTAAAATTTTTTACTTCGTTCTCATTTTTTATTAGCTTATAATAAAAGCCCACCATATTCACCATATCAGTGGATCTGCGTAGTACCCTAAATTTTTGTAACCCCAAATTTGCAAACATCCAATGAATTTTACATATTTGATATTATTGCATTTACGAAATCTGGGTCAGGTTATGCATGTTGCCGATCATTATGTAAAATTCTTTAAAGTTCATAATGTTACGGTTAGCGTTTCGTATAAAGTTAAAAGCTTGGTGGTTATATAGTAAAATCGCACAAGGAAAACTTTTGGTTAGTGCACGTGGTTTACTATGCAGATTTTTGAGAAAGATGCAATTTTTGGCAAAACGAACGTTTTTTTACATTACACCTGATTCTCAAATCTGATTGGTAGATCATACATAATCATGCATAACTAAGCACAGATTTCGCAAATGCGATATTATTAGTAGCAAACACTCATATAAAACTTCTGGTAAATCACATAATAACCTATTATAAAACTTTACACTATGTTACTTTTAAGTTTAACTTTTCTAATCAAAAAATATTTTTATATAATCAAAAAATAGTATAGGTATAGCTTATAATAATAATAATATTATTATTATTATTATTCATTACGGCGACTTTTTTACACTACCCTAATTTATGACGCAGTTATGATAAACATTTAATGTGGAAAAAATCATTTGACTATAAGTATATTTATAATAAGAGATGAATTTTAACAGTAAAAGAAAATGGGTTTTAAGGTGAAAAGATGGGTTTGATGTTCATTTTAGTATGTGCGTCATGTGATTTGTTTAAATAAATCTATATGATTTGTAATTACAAAAATTTTATAATCTTTAAAAATTACTGCATTATTTGTAATTGTCTGGAACATAGCAATAGACACTTGATTTTATGCATTAAGTAATACAAAAATTATGTTTTTGATGTGTTTGACCATTAAACATTTCCTTTTTGATGTATTAATATAATTATTATAATTAATATATTACAATAATGTAACTTTGAAATTTTTGTCTGTCCTTCTGCATGACATATAATTACAAAACTATTTTGAAAACAATAATTTATTACCAATATAGTCAGAGATATTATTAAATATAATAATGCTCTAGACTTATATTAATTCTCAATTCCTAGTTTTAATAAAAAGTTAACAGAACTAGTAGTAACTATTTAATTTAAACTAAGTTATAATGTTTTTTTTTCTTATTAGCAGCCTCACCAGTATTTTTATTAGATCAAAACATATATATACATATATTTAACTATTTAAACTACAGATTTGATATTTTTTTAGCTACTTTATTAAATGTTTAGAGTAGTAATTAGACCCAGGTAGCATCTACCTGGGTCACCCGCAGGTAGATAGATAACCCAAATAGAGTTTTCACAACCTAGGTAAAAACGGGTAGGTAACTTGTGAGTTACCTGTGAGCAATTCATCATATGATTGGCTAATTTGTGAAGATTAAAATGTAATAAAATCAATCAAAAATTCTAATATACAAATGAATTATAAGTGAAGCTTCTTTTATTTTTTAGTTATTTTATTATAATTAAAATAAATTTATTTTATTGTAATTAAAATAATTTTATTTTATTTTAAGCTATCACAACCTTTATTAGAGATGTAACATAACTTGTAGCCAATAAAGAAACATTACTATAATACTTATATAGAGATGCAAAATCAGATCTGTTTATATATATATAATAAAACCCAATTAATCAATAAAGCTAATCAGCTGATTTTGCATCTCTACTAGAGATTGAACCCATTGAGAAATCTCTATCTGGGTATTATTAAATTACCCAGGTTATCTGGATAAATTATTATATATTTCAGATAATCGTATAGTAACAATTTCTACCTGACCTCAATCCCTAGTCTCTATATTTATACATATTATTGACCTACTACTGTATCTTAACCCAAAGTTATATTTTACTGATCTAGTAATTTAATTTAAAATATGTAAATATATGCATTAATACAAGCCTATTATTATTATAATAGTATGTTAAACAAAATTTTTTAAGATTAAAGCTTACATATAACGTTTCGATCTTTTTTTTTTATCAGCCATTTTCAAAATTTAGAACTTATATAGCTAGTATTGGCAGTATATAGTAAAACATTTACTTCTAAGTAAAGTTCTTGAAGTGCAAATTATTTGGATAAATTTTAATAGTAAATATCTATGCTCGTTATGACTAGAAATTGCTTTCACAGTGATTTATTTGTTAGTGAAACATTAAGTTTTCAAAAATACTTCAAAGTGTATAAATAAAGTTACCTGTCTGGTTTTGAATAGTTTACTTATTTAAAAAAGGGCTTAGATTTTTCACAATGATCTGTATGTCTTATGCCATTCTTTTGACTTGCGTTCTGATAATAGCTGTATATTTTTCATCCATCAATCTGATTAGCTTTTAATATATATTAACTAAATTAGGTTATAAACTTAAATAAATTAATTTTCATCTTTGATATGATAGTCTAATGTTAATTGTTATACTGTTTGACCTTTTAGAAATTCCTTGCATTTACCAAATTTGACAATAGCTAGCAATTAATAATAACTGTATATAGACAGTACAATTGCGAATAATATTAGATCACTAAGAAAGTTATTTAACTAAATTAGATGAATGAAATGGGGTCTTTGCCTTGAAAATGACCTTACAGTATATGATCCCGTAAGGTCATTTTCAATACAAGGACCTTAAATTCTTTAAAATATATCAAATAATTGTTATCGCCTTTTCAGATTAGATCAATAGATTTAAAAATCTATTACTATATTTGCATTGTTGATATAGTGCATGAAGAATAGATCCTGTAATCAAATCTTTTTAAAAATAAATAATCAAAAAAATAAATAAACAGTATATAAATGACCACCCTTTGATGTGAATAAATCGTAAAAATTTAACTGCAATTTGAAATAAAATATAAATACCTTAAATTTCGATTCTGATTAATATAAATACATAGTATTTGCTCTTTCAATTAGTTGTAGCAATGAATCCCGAATACATCTCTGATATTGAAGATACTTCAAATATGGAATATACTTTAGATATAGAACTGTCCTTCGATACTGAATGTGCTTCTGATGCTGATGCTCAAGAAAATACAGATTCATTTAACTCTATTGAAAAAGATAAAGAATCTACAAATGAATCAAGCACCAAAAAAATTAAAGTCAGCTTTAATCAACCAGATAAATCTAAAAAAAAAAGCTATGTTTGGCTGTACTTTGAAGAAGAGAATGAATATGATGTTTGTAAAATAATTGTAACTATAAAGAATATAGAAAAAGTATGTAGAAGAAAATATAAGCATGATGGATCAACTGGAAACATGAACTGCACTTATAGTTAGAATATAAAATCTTCGCACCAAATAAAGTAAAATCAAATTTAGACGAAAAACGTCAATTAAGCATAGCTGAAATATTCAAAAAAGTAATTCCACACAAAGAACCTAAACAGTTGAAACTAAAGTGAGTTACAGCTGAATGGCTTGTTACAGATTCCCTTCCATTTAATGTTGTATATAAAAAGGAGTACTAAAAAATGATAAATTTAATTGATCCTACATTTATATCACTAAATAATAAGCATATTAAAAAAGATATCGATATTGCTTATCAGAAGGATATAAAAGAACTTAAAAATCTAAATTTCTACTACTTGTGAAATGGCTTCTATAACTACTGATCTATAGACAGCTCAAAGTAATGATGGATACATCAGTATAACTCTTCACTAGTTAACACCTGAATTTGAGATATGTGAGGCATTACTTGCCATTGAAAAGTTTGAACATTCACATACAGATGAATGAACAAAATAATATCTAAATACAAAAATTGAGGAATTCAGATTAGTTGGAAAAGTTATTTGTACAACAACAGACAATGGGGCAAATATGAAGAAGGCTATAAAACTTTTAGATAATATAAGTTGACTATCTTGTGCTGCACATACACTTCAACTCATAGTTGTTCAGGCTTTAAATTTTATAAAACCATACATCAATAAAATTCGTAAGCTCATTAAATTTTTCTGATCTCTAAAGCAAAGTTAACGCCTTGATTAGGTACAAATTAACTTAGCATACCATAAATTCACCACAGTATCTATTATTTGAATTCATGATTCTGAAAATATTTTAGAAGATTTATCTGAAATAGAAGAAAGTGAAGAATTAGAAATAAATGAAGAGCCAAAATTTATTTTGCATACTATCAAAGATATAAAAACACGTTGGAACTCCACTTATCAATCTTGGCAAAGGCTTTTAGCATTACATCCAGCAATTAAGTAGCTTTCTACAACATTACACCTATTGAAAGAAGATGACACCTATTAGAAGAAGATGGTGCTAAAGAAGATTAAAAAATTATATGCTTAAGGATAATGAATGAAATTTTTTAGAAAACTTAATAAAGGCATTTAAGCTTTTTGAAGAACTAACAACCTACTTTAGTAGATTTAAATATATTATGCTTTTATTTGTCAATCTAAATATCGAAGCGTTGAAATTTGAATATACTGAGGATTCTCTAATAGATCTGAATAATTATGAAGAAATTATTAATTATGATGATAGTAAGTAAATATTACATCTTAAAACAAAATCTATTATAAATAATTTTTAATTTTTTTTTTTAAAAAAAACTTAGATGAATCGTCAGACGATGAAAATTTTGAAAATAATAAAACAGCATTCTCACCTGAACAAACTATCTCGAAACTTAGAAGGATTATCTATAACTTTCTTTAGCACTATTAGCAAGACTCTGAAGATATTAGATTAATCTCTACTTTACTAGATCTGTGACTAAAATTAACTAAGGTATGGAGAAGTGAAATATGAGATGAAGCAATCAACAAATTGCATGCTGAATTTAAAGTTTGTCAAGATGCAATTACAGCTGAAGAGTTGAAAGAAAGTAATGAGAAAACCAGTTCAACATCTGCGTCTCGTTTTATAAGAAAAGTATTTGGTAGTAGTAGTTATAAGAATAAAAGTAAAATTAATAATAAAGCTGAAGTCGACAACTACTTAAATAAGATAATTGTAGAAATTTTATCTGAGAATACTGATATTTATAGTTGGTGATACAAAAATAAACATCTTTTCCCTATTTTAAGTAAAATAGCCATAAATATCTGTTAATCTCTGCTATTTCTGTTCTAAGTGAGCAGCTTTTTTCAGATGCAAGAAATCAAATTACCTAGAGCTGGGACTTGTGAATATTCACAGATAAAATGAATATTCAATTAGAATGTGAATATTTAGTTATACAAAATCCATGAACAATTGAGAATTATTATTAATTTTTTTTTTTTTAAATGTTAAGGTGACTACTTGGAGGTCTGGCATGTTTTATTAACTTTGGTTGCGAATGTCAGGGCAGCCACAGGACCACCCCTAACTTTGTTATATTAACGAGGGTACAAACTAGTCATATCTGCGCTTTTTGAGCGCCTAATTAAGTAGTTCTCTATTACTAAGTACTATACTAGATATCATACCTATAACCTACTATTACTTGAGTTACTCAATTAAACCCTCTGATCAACTTAGTGCTGTCGGATATTCTCTCCAAAGAGGAACTGCCACTAAGGCCCCTTAGGACTAATTTATTTTCGTGATAAACCTACTAGAGCAGTTCATGTCCCACAAACATGTATCATCTAGGTTTTTCGGTAACTTGCGCCTAGGCTGAGACCAAGTACTTGCAGTATTTCTCTGCTACCATTACCTACTCCTTGCCCTTACAAAGTTCATACAAACCCCAGCACACACTTTATAGACTATCACCGGTATCTAAGTTCTGTCAGCAACCTAAACTCCTAATCCAGATAGCCTGGAAGGGCTGTGATCTGCCCCTGGTCCCCACGGTTGGGTCCTTTTCCTCCAGTTACTCAGCCGGTGGCCTGGTTGGTATAGTGTCTTGCCAAACACCGGTCCTCGTCCAAATTACTGAAATCGGTGTCCGGATCCCTTAGATAGCCTTTTACATAGTACCGTCAAAGATCTGTCCTACCTCTCTACTCAGGACTTGCTAAGTGGGCTTCTGTGTGCCCCAATACCTGGATTTACACAGCTGTTTTACTCAGGTTTCGTGTATATTTTGGTAAATTCACCTTGCCTGTAATACTTTATTATATAGTTAATAATAGTTACAATTTTTAATTTACAAATTTCTAAATTGTATTTTATCTATTATTATAACTTTTGCTAACATATTCTAATTTACTGTATATAATTAATATCTTTTATAATCCTTGTACTGTAAATACCTTTTTAATTTTTAAAACTACAGATTACATTGTTGAAACTGCCAAATTTGAAACTTTAACACTACTTGTAATTAACTACGTATAAAGTAACTACAGTCTATCATTACTTGGTGTTAGCAATACGCAAATTGCTATTAATTTTTTAGTTTTAAAATCACTATATGATTATTTTATTATTACTATATATATTCACTGCATGTTAGCAATTCGTCTATTACTTAATTTCGCAAGTTTCAGCTAAGTTATCTTTTTTAAATTAGAAGATTATATAACTTTAACCATCAAAATAAAAAACTTTAAGCTTCACATCCTTTTTAAATACAGCAGTTAAGATTATTTAAAATAACATTTTAAAATTTGTAAAAATTGTATGTTTTAATAAAAAATTTGCATATAATTATCCGAAAAATTAAAAAAAAATAAAAATTATAATTATATGTAAAATTTTACACTAAAGATAGAGACCTATTAATGCCACACCCACTTTTGTTAGCACTAATGTTGTACATTTGATGTCCAAAAACTGTCTCGTATATATAAAGCTTGTTGAAACTATTATCTTTAGAAAATTATATATGTCAACTTTTTTAGATCGTTAAAGCAAGTTACCATTAAGTATTTATTTTTTTTGTAAAATTTTGCACTATAACGTCAGTCTCTAGTACATACGTACACAAATACATATTTCAATGTCTAGTTATAAGCTATATAAATCTCTTATCACAAATAAAGATTTGGTTATTGATGCTGTTACGACTACTAACACATAACAAATCATACAAAAGACATTAATATGACACAATTTTATTCAATGCCTTCATATGCGTCTTGAATGGATCGCACAAAATCATTCACTTCATGGCCTCCAAGACAATTATACCAGAATCCATCTTTGATACATCTCAGTTTGCCGTCAATGTAAATCGTACAACTTTTAGTGACGCCATATGATTCTGTTATGCTTACGCTTTTAACAAAAAGATTTTTTCCAACATCAGAAGTTGCACATTTATCTACGGGCGTATAATCCACGCCTGCTTCTTTTGAACATTGTATTGCCCAATCACGTGAACCAATTTTAGGTATGTAGCGGTCAAGGCACAAGAGAAATTTGAAAAATGTTGTTTGATCCGGATAAACGTAGCGAAAACAGAGTTGCTGTATATTGCCTTTGTTGAAGGGTTTGCATTACTCGTTAGTTATGAGACAGATACTTAGAAAGATTAACGAATAATTACCGATGCATTCGATGTCTTCGTGCTTGCAGGTAGCACCATAGGTCGCAGAATCATTAAGTTTCGCGACATAATTTGTGGTGATTACAGTGATATCATTCGTTTGTTTCACTACATATTCAGTAAATAAATAAATGATAAAAAAAATTTATTCGCAAATAATTACATTTACATACAAACCTCTCCGAACACGGATTCGCATGCGACAGCGTCAGGACAACGACTCATAACAAATAGTTGGACCGGAACTTTGGGCTTGTTACTGTCATATACTATTCTTCGTGAGTGTTGCAGTCGACTGGTCAAAAGCAGATAGCTTCCAACAATGAAAACGAGGACAATGAAAATATAATGTTCTCTACGCATTTTTTTAAAGTTGGGAAAGGGTAAAAAAAAATTTACACATAACCTTGTGCTAACATATAGCACGTGTCGATCAATTGATGTAACATTGTGAACGTAATTATTACAAACGCGAAGTGTGGTTAATTGCTAACTATATACGTAGAATGGCAAGTGTGCAAATCCGGTAATAGTATGTACACGAATTTATATGTACGCATACATGAATGAATACGTTGGATTGATATGAGTGCGTGAGAGTGAAAACCTGGAAACTGATTTAATGATTTACTATGATCGGTTTCCAGGTTTTCACTCTCACGCACTCATATAGAAATAGCAGCCGTTCACAAGTAGTGTTCTTTTAAATTAGAGATGGGCAAGGTAATAATGTAAGTAATAATTACTTATTTTTTACCCCAATATTTACACATACATACTATTACTAATTATTCCTATGATGAATAATCATTGCTTATTACATTTTACAAATATAATCTGGAAAGCAAATTTTAAACTCAATAATTTGCTAAGATTTTGCTTATTATTAATGATTAATATATTTGTAGCCATAGGCCACCGTAGCCGTAACTAAAATAACCCTTTTTTGTTGTTAGTTAGGGTTAAGATAGTGTGCGGGTAAAAAGGTGTGTTTTATAGTAAAATTTAGCAAGGAATTTTTTAATTTTGGGTTATAACCAATTTTTGACAAAATGTTTTAAATTTTCCTGATGAAATTTGATTAGCTTTTATGGGATGCGGTTACAGTAGCCATGTCTACAAATATATTACTTCTATTATTAATGAATTTTACTTTTTTACTTTAGCGATCCTTTCTTTATTTTATAAATCGGCAATAGAATACAAATAGATATTCAATTTAGCTAAATCTACATTATCCT